CTTTTCTTTGTCAAGTGTACAGAACCTGGCATACATTCATGATAAGTAGCACTGAAAAACTACCCATTCAAATGTCCCCTGGGCACTTAATGGCAACAGATTGCCAGTTCTAATGTAAAGGTCAGTGACAATGCATTCCTGCCGGATACAGACCTCCGCTGCCGGACTCTGGGGGACGTAGTCACTTGACCGTCCAGAAACACATGAATAAAAAGCTGTATGACTGTTCACCATTGTTTTAAAGGTACTTAGTATCTCGATCAAACTTTAGTCTCCAGTAACTAAACAAGTCCCCAGGTTTCCTTATTTTCATTTACGCTTTGACTAGATTTGAGACAAAGAAATACTACAGGTCATGCAACTAGAAGGCACTTGCTTCCACTACTAAATATACAGGGTATGTCCTCACTTGGAGTTAACTGGAATAGCAGCACGGTAGCAAGTGTCTCCGGATCCTTCCCACTGGAGGATTCACATAAATGCTTTGGTAATACCTTCTGAGTGAATTAGAGGAAATAGCAAATGAACGTTAGGTACTGTGCAGATTACTTCAAATGGGAAAAACCTTTTTGTACATTTGGACTCTATAGTATCCTCCCTGTTCATCAGCTTCTGAAGAGGGAGGAGTATTTTTAGTTTAATAATTTAAAAAAAGACCTTTCCAGGTAGGAAAAAATTGAAGCTATTTGCTGCAAACTTCATCTAATTTTGCTTCAAGTCGAAAGTCGTGATACTGTTGCATTCTGTCAATGTTGCAGGGTTTTAAACTTTACAATTATTTTAATATTTTTGATAACTAGGAATCTAGTATTGCCATAAAGGAAACTAAGTGCCCATTAAAGATTTGTTTGGTATAAATAAATGATTTTTTTGTTTTGTTTTAAATGACAGTAAGCTACAAATCATGATGTTAATCTTAAAACTTTCTGAAGATGAACTGTGTGGCAGTGATTGTGTTGTCTGTCTGTGGAGAATGTATGAACGCTATTCATATTCTAAAATAGATTAATAAATCGGCTATGTTGTCCCAATGAATGTACAGCACGTCCATTAACTTTCGAAAGCAACACAGCCTTAAACTCAATGCTTTTGCTTTATGACATGGGAATGTTCTGTCATCAACAGAGTGTATTCTTGTAAAGGAATTCTTTATATCATTCTCAATTCTATTGCCTTTCAATCCTATGTATGAGTATTAAGGGTTTTTGCTTCCTTTTTTTTCTTTTTAAAGTTTGTACATTCCATCTCTCTAGGTCTGTTCCATACGTTATGTGTATAGAACACTAAGTCTTGCGCTCTCTGACGTTGATACTGATATATTCTCATTTGTTCTTTTACGAATCGAAATGCTGACTGCCTATTTAAAGAAAAGAATGAACGCTGTGCATCAAAGTGTTTGTATGTTCGTAGCTACATATGTACCACAGTATTTTGGATGCTTTAGTCTACAATAAAACTTTAAATTAATTCTGTCTTGAAACATAGGAGAAACAAGATTCATGTGTATATCTTTACCATGCACAAAATATCAGATCATTATAATAAAGCTTGTTTTCTCCATTTCCAGGGTGAATGTTTATTTATATTTTACATAGTTTTCTTTTTTAGTAAAGGGAAATGAAGAAATTTTCTAGAATATGTGGCAGATATCAATACCTCAACCAAACTGTTTAGTTAAATTAGTAAAATTTTTGTCATTTATGATACCAATAATCTGGTTAGCATTTAGGATGTATCTTAGATAGGAATTTGGAAAACCATGACAGGTATGCCTAGCACATATATTTAGAAGGTCAAATAGACCAAAATCACTATGCTTCAAGAATCACAAGGGGGACCTTCTAGAAATTATGGCAGTCACATTTCAAGGGGGTGAAGAACTAGAAAGGGACTGCCCCATAACTACTGTCTATAGGGTCCACAATTTAATGAAAATTAATTATAAGAAACATTCTTATATTACATCAAGCTGATGGCCAAGCATTTCAAGCAGTACTCACAACATCTAAAGAATATGTCGGACAGTCCTCTGGAGGTTCTTCTGTTGCAAAGGAACCTGATGCTGGATGCACAAACCATGGGCTATCACTACATCCTATCCTTTCAAAGAAGTTAGTTTCCATCTTTCTTAAGTCGAAAAAGATTTAAATTGGTCTCTATTCATAATGTCAAAGTTGTCATCTTAATGCCACTTACACACAAGCCAGCATGTTCCCTATGAGACTTGAAGATAGATATAGCTCTCAATCTTGAGTGGTGTGTGGATTTGATACTTTTGTTCTATAAAGGACCCTTGTCCTTCTTCACTGATTGTAAACAAATCATAGCCTCACATATATGCATACAGCTTTTTTTTCCTGATGTATTTATACGCTTTTTGATTTTTCATTAAGTCTGTGATTTATATTTTGCTGTGATGGAATGAATACTAAAATTTATCTTTTGAGTATCCTTTGTGAACAATGGAGGATCCAACAAAAATCTCTTGTTTTGTTTTTTCAAGGATTAAAAAAAAATCTATAATAGATTATAAGTCTAGAAGAGGTGAGTAAGTCAGTCTTGGAAGGAGAGATGTAACAGAAATGAGAACAAGGCCAAACGGGACACTGCCAACTAGTAACTGTGAATATTAGTATTCTTGAATCCTGCTTCTATTCTTCATTTATTTTTTCTTTTAACCAAGCAGGCACCATTGCCATCTTGGGCTCTTTGGAAGTTTTCAGAAGCAGAGAGTGTGGCATTCCTGACATAAGCCAGTTGCCCCACATTTAAGCATTATCTCAAATTGTCCTTTGAGGACTCACTTCACATAAAGCCAGATGCACCCCTTTCCAGAGCAGACAAGTTCAATTAAAGCTGCGTTTTATTTGCCTAAGCAAAGAGGCAGGAAGGGTAGATGACATTCTATCCTCTACCCAACCCTACTGTCTTTTGTTGTCATTGCTGTTGTCATTGGCCCTGCAGATTCTTTGCCTACAAGGAGGGATGTGTACTTCTCAGATGCTGCAAATATTTATTTACCATTCTTAAAAACCCATATACTACATCTGTCTGCTCCATAATATTGCAAAACTTGGAGTGTCTCAAGATCTCAAGAGATAAACTGAGGCATATTAAGAATTTTAAGAGTTTGAGCAAAATCAGTTCTAATCAGGAGGTGCCAAATCAGAAGTGGATAGGAGTGCTCTGCCAACAGGAGCCAGGGGAATGACTTACAAAGAGAAAGTACAGAACCAAAGAAATTCTTTGATGGTGGCTGTTGTTGTTGCTCATTGGTTGTCTTTAGCATTTTGATTTCCTAACCTTGAGGTATTTATAGGCTTATATTGTGGTTTGCCCATGTAGGCTGCTGCAGCATTAGGCCACACAATAGAGTCGAATGGCTTCCTTGTTTAATTTAACACATCTGAATGGTGTATAACTTCAAAATTCCACTGGTGAGAATAATAAATGAGAAAGCACTGCTCAATACAAACAATTAAGATTTTACTAAAGTAAATATCCTTTGATTTTTCATCTGAAAACCATATCTAGTTATCCCTATGTCAACGAAGAGATAGTGTTCTTAAATACCTGGTATATTTATTTAATACACATTTACTGAGTGTTTACCATATGTTGGGCACTGTGCTAGGTCTTGGTGATATGGAAATGGTTGGCTTAACCTCTGCCACAGAAAGGAGTCTGATATTACAGGGAAGCTGCCCAAGAAAACAGTTCTAAAATGAATGTGGGGTGCTATAAAACTGCAGAATTCATCCCACAGAAGGGACCCTCTCTGCTCTGCGGTGGGAGTGGGGAAACACAGAAAAAGATTCCTGAAGGCTACATCGGAACTGTCTAAAGGGGGTAAGAGTAAGCCAAGTGAAGAAGGGCCGCTCCTGATGGAGGGACAGGTATGGCAGTCTGAAAGCCGACTAAGATAAGCGTTCCTACAAATGTTACCTTTATGATTTTTGTCAAATCTAGATATCACCAGGGCCATTACTTAATATTTTTCTTAAATATCACTTTCATTTTTTCTGACAGGCCTATTTCATCCATATCTAGAGCAATGCATGAGAAATCTAGAGTATAATGTGTTGCTTATGCTTTTTCTAGTACATATTAAAACGTATTAAATGGCTACCCATTTACTATCTTACTATTAAAATCATCTGATGTACAATCATATCGTACTGTCATGCACTCTCAGGAAAACTAAATTAATGGAACTCTGCGCAATCAATATATCCCTTCTTCGCTTCCGTTTCTTAAGCAATAGGAGATACAAATTCCCACTTGAGATGCCTCTCTTTATGCTTTCAGTAAAACTAGTATACTTTAAATTGGTTCAAAATCACGTACAATAATTTTCAAAATAATTGCCAAGTCTGAGTTAGTTCTGTAGCACCTTTAGGCTAAGGGGCCCGAGCTTTAGACCCGAATCCCCATCTACTGTCAGGTCCCGAGGTAGCCGACAGATTTCATTTGAAATTCATTCTCTTGTTTATGTAAAAAACAACAAACAAACAAGCCTAAGAGAAAACCAAACATACAAAGGGATTTTCAAAAACTGGGAGAGCAGTGCAGAGAGGCTGCAGAGAAGAGCGGTAAAATTAGGAGAGAGAAGAAGTCCGCTCCAGACGGGGCGCATCCCGATGGATGGAGGGTAGCGCTTCCTTCCCCAGGGTCAGACCGCCTCTATTTTCTAAGGCCAACTTAGGCCGCTTTCCGCAGCGCGGAGAAAACGCGCACTAAAGTGAGGGCTCAAGACTTTCCAAAAAAAAGAGAAAAAAGGAGTCACACTGGACCCCAGGGAGAAGAGGTGCGCGCAACGCAGGGACCCGACGCGCCGACCCCCGGCCCTCCCGGCTCCCCCGGCGGGCCCCCGCCCTCCCGGGCCGGCCGCTCGGCACAGCCGCCAGGGGTCGCCGCGCGCCGTCGGGGCGGAGGTCGGCCTCCCTCCCCCCGCCGCCCTCCCACCGCGTCCTCGTCGCTGCTCCGCCCCGCGGCGCTGTCGGCGCCAAAATCGAACCCGCCCGGGCCCGCCCCGCCCCTCGCCTCGCGCGCAGGCCCGGCCGCCGGAAGACCCGCCGCCCGCGTCATGGTAAGAGCGGAGGCCACGCTCCCGGGTCCCGCGCCTCCCCAGTGTCGGGGCCCCCCGGCCTTGTGGGGCCCCGACGGGCTTCGGGGGCTTGGCTCCCCTGGCGGGGCCGCCCGGTGGACGCGGCCGGATCCCAGAGGCTGGGGCGCGCGCCGCCCCGGGCCCGCGACCCCGACGCCCCTGGGCCTCCGCGCGCCGTCCGCGGAGCACACCCGAGAAGCGTTCGCGGACGTGCCCCGAGTGTCTCACAAACTCAGCGACCAGTCCGAGCACGAGTCGCCTCAGAACCAGAGCCCCAGGCCCCCGGGATTCGGCCGCCAAAGCTGCAGCCTCTTGGGAAGTACCGGGAAGGGTGTGAGCGAGGCGGGCCGACGCCGTGGATGTCAGTGGCTCTTGTTTTTTGACAAATGGGGGGTGCCGCGTATTGTAGTTTGTAGAGCACGTTTCCGAATGGCTCACGATTTCAGAAGTTACCTAGCGGGTAACTTTGAAAATCCGCTGCTTTTTTACTAAAGGGCGGGAATGGATGCCGTTTTGCGCTTCGGACTGCTAGTTGGTAGGGAGTTGGTTCCCTTATTAGCGAAGCCCCGAGATCGCTTTCCTTGCTTGTCGTGATAGGTTAAGTCCTGGCGAGATTCCAGGTCGACCTTTTTATCTTGGTGAATTTAATGTCTTCCACCTCGTCGAATCATTTTCATAAACCTTCAGTTTCGTGCCATTTTTTCTGCTTCTGTTGGCGGAGAATCAGCGTCTAATTAGAGTGGTCTAAGGTTTTAATACCTTAATTTAGTTAAGTGGCCGTTATTTTGCTGGGCAAGGATCTAGGTTGTACGGTATTTATTTGAAGATACTTGTCCAGATGTAATTACAACTGATAACGGCTGCTTTGTGGTTAAACTAACGACGCAGCCACCTGGGCCTAAAATGGTCTCAGACACAACAGGACCACACTTACATCTGTTACCAGTGCTGCGTGATTGCATGTTTCTCGTAGTTACTGGCCTAGTACAACTGAGAACTATGAGCACAAATGCATTAACTTTATCCTTTTACCTAATCTCTCTTTACATGTGAATCACCTTCTAATACTCAGTGGTAATACGCTGTTAACCATTTTCAGATGCTTACCTCCGATAATGAAGAAACATGAGATAAATTAGAATAAAACTTTGAGATACATCCGGTTTTTTTATTGTATGCTCAAGAAGTATAGTGTTATGTTGACCAAAGACAAAGCTTTGTTCTCTTTCCTGGTTATGAATTAATAGCTGTTTGTTTTGATTTGGTTAGGCTTCGTGAATAAACAGTTATTCTAAATCCAGGCGTATTTCTGGAATTGGAGAACTGCAGTGTACTCTGCCACTTTTGAGGGCAACAGATATCATCTATTTTTAATTTTTCAAGGTTTTATTGTAATTGGTAAACAGGGTTGATTTTAGGAATTCTGTAACTCCTAATTGGAGAAGGTTCCTTAGATGTATGGTTTTTTTAAGTGGTTTAAAATAGAGGTTTCTCCCACTCTTTGAAAGTAGTGTTCCTATGAAGCCTTTCATAATCTGAGGTGGCATAAGGTGAAGAAGCAATTATTAATTTTTTTTTTAAGATTTTATTTATTTATTTGAGAGAGAATGAGAGAGAGAGAGCATGAGGGGGGGAGGGTCAGAGGGAGAAGCAGACTCCCTGCCGAGCAGGGAGCCCGATGCGGAACTCGATCCCGGGACTCCAGGATCACGACCTGAGCCGAAGGCAGTCGCTCAACCAACTGAGCCACCCAGGCGCCCAGCAATTATTAATTTATATGGAAAAAAAATTTTGAGCATTCCTAGACCCAAAAAAATAACTTCTTAGGCTTAAAAATATATATATATATTTTTTTTTTTTTTCTGTCAGGCTTTTCATGATACCTTAGGACACATCTTGCTAACAGATGCACAGAATAAATTGAGGTACTGCACAGTTCAAAGCCGTGGTGGCTTATGCTTGAGATGCTGAATGTAGTTCCCAGGGAAGGAGCGTGGCGGAGCCATTCCTAAAACAAATGCTGAACACTATTTGCGCTTTTTGCCTTTTTTCATACAAGTGAAAATGCTCTTAAGATTTCTTTTGATTAGTGAAAACAGGTACTAATGTAGGTCTTCTGAAAAGTGGGGATAGCTGTATGTTGGTCAGCCGGGAAGCTTTGTTGTTCTCAGGTCAAGTCTTGAGTCCCCTTACTTACTAATTTGAATGCATCTTTAACTTACATTGTCAGCAGATTTTCTTTAATGTTAAGTATTAAATGAGACCTTGTTGATTTTTTTGGAGAAATTTCTAAATATGAATTAGCATGGCATCCTTTTACATTAGTTATTTTAATTCTGGCCATGATACTGTCCTGTGGTTAATTATAAAAACTATTTCTAGTCATAAAAGAGGCTAATGAATAAATTAACCTGAAAACAAAGTAAATGGATGTTACAGCTCATCCATATTTCTTGAGTGACTTTCATAGCTACTGAACTGAGTGATAGGAGCTTTCCTAAAACTGTGTGCCTCCTGGACACTAGACTCTCCTCATTGTTTGCTTCTGGGTGGCAGATTCTTGTGGGACCCATGAGTCTCTCCAGGGAGCTTTTTAATAATACCAAAACATTAGGAGCCTTTCCTAAAGCTTTGGATCTGTTTTCCACTGATGCAGCCACAGACTAAAGTTCTAAAGGGATCCTCACTACCCCACAGTGCCCCTGACCCACCTCTAGATTCTGGGGTGTGAAGAGCAGTGTTCTCAATCCTGGGGCCAGTTAAAGCACCTGGAGAGGCTTTTAAAAACATGCAGGCCCAGGCCTGGTCTCAGAGATTCTCATTCAATTCATATGGCATGTGCCTTGGCATCAGTATTTTTTAAAAGCTCTTGAGATGATTCTAATGGCAGTTTGAAACCCACAGGACTAGAGAAATGAGCCAAAAGAGCCTCCTTAACTGGGTGTCAATTTCAGGCTTGGTTTATTCTGATACTGCTGAGGCCTGTGCGAAAGGAGGCTAATTAAAGCAGTATTGAATGCTGTTTCTCCACTCTGGGTTTGGTGAAATAGATCTATATGTTTTCTTGGAGCTTGCCTGCCTGAGATTTCTGTGATTTATCTCTCCAAGAAAGGCAATAAATAGTTATCACGGAAGTCTTTATTATTAATTTACCCTGTGTTGTATTTATGGTAGTGCGGTGGGTGTTGTGGGATTTGGGAGTCTTGAACAGTCTCAGATTTTAGGGTTAGGGCTTTAGATAAATGGCCTTGAGGTCAAGGGCTGGCCTTTGTGTCTGCTCTAATCTAGTACTAAGCTTTAGGAAGGCAAGGGCGGTGCATGTTCTGAAGAAGTTTTCAATTGGCTGAGAAAGACAAGTGTACCAATTGATTTGATTAAGGTGTGTTCTGGGAACACATGGGATGACACTCAGATTGTTCTGTGAGCTCACGGAAGCTCTTACAGAATGCTTAAACTAAGTCTTGGGAGACTTTTTGGAGTTTTGAATAGGCAAGAGGAGCAGGTGTTTTAGATGAAACAGTTTTTTAAAGACACAGATGGGAAAGAGCATGCGGGGAGCGGAGAATTACAAGTACAGGTCTTCTTTGGGACACCTGTGTGGCTCAGTCGGTTAAATGTCTGACTTCAGCTCAGGTCATGATCCTGGGGTCCTGGTAACGAGTCCTGCATCGGGCTTCCTGCTCAGCGGGAAGCCTGCTTCTTCCTCTGCCTGCCGCTTCCCCTGCTTGTGCTGTCTCCCTCCCTCTCTCTCTCTCTCTCTCTGGCGAATAGTACATAAAATCTATCAAAAAAAAAAAAAAAGTACAGATCTACCTCAACTTACAGTGGAGTTGCACAGTGATAAGCCCATTGTAAGCTGAAAATATCAGTTAAATCAAAAATGCATTTAATACACCTAACTTATGGAACATCATAGCTTACTTTAACCATGCTCAGAACACTTAGACATCAGCTTCTGGCTGGGCCAAAGCATCTTGAGACAAAGCCTGTTTTATAATAAAGTATTGAATATCTCATGTAACTTGTTGAAACTGTACTGAAGGTGAAAAAATGGTTGTGTGGGTACAGAATGGTTGTACGTGTTGTGTACCTCATGGTCCCGTGGCTGCTCAGCATCATGAGAGTATTGTACCACCTATCACCAACCGGGAAAAGATTCAAATTCAAAATTCGAAGTATGGTTTCTACTGAATGTGTATTGCTTTCACACCATCATAAAGTTGAAAAAGTTAAACGATGGCAAGTCAGGGACTGTCTAGTTTTTGTATTACAGCTCAAGTTGCTTAACTGTCCCTGTTACGGTAAAATTTGAGGTGGAGAGTGGTATCTGTGAGAGGTAGATTGGGGTCAGGTGATAAAGGGCCTTGTATATCACTGTAGAGTGATTGGATACTTCTGGAATGGTTCAGAGCCACTGAAGGCTTTTAAGCAAGGGAGAAGCATGGTTAGATTTGCTTCTCGGCAGGGTGGAATGTGCACTTAGAGGCTGAGACAAAGTGTGGCCAGAGGGCTTGCCTACCGGTGTGTTGCAGGAGACAACACGTAATGAAGGCCTGAACTGAGGTCGGGGTTGTAGGGATGGAGCAGACAGGGTGGATTTGAGAAATAGTTAAGCACTAAAATTGGCAGAACTTGGTGATTGGTCTGATGTGGAGTAAGAGGGGTGAACCTGGGATGACCGCCAGGCCTCTGGCTTGGCTAATAAGGGTATCTAACTGAGCTCAAGATCTAGAACAGCAGGTTTGGGGAGTAGATGTGGGAGAAGAAGAGTTCAGTTTAAACCCTCTGAGTTTGAAGTCTGTCCAGCAGACAGGTAGATACTTGAGATGGAAGCTCAGGAGCATACTTCAGAGGCTGATGTAAAGATTTCAGCATAAGTGTTAGTTAAAACGGTAAAGGCAGAAGAGATCGAAGAAAAGGTGTGAGGAGATGAGGGGATCAATAGAGAACCCTGGGGGAACTGCAGTGTTTGAGAGCGGACAGACGAAAAAGAGAAATACCCACTTTATGCCTTCTTATTTTACCCATACAACTCATCAAGGAACACCTAATAATTTTATTGCCGAGAAAATGAGTTAGTGGGTTTGTAGGTTGTGTAAGTAGAATAAAGACTCGTGTACCCTGCTTTGTATTCAGAATGGCAATTTCAAATCCTTTTCCCCATCTATTGTAGACTTTTCATTTTCTGATGGAGTATTTGGTTAGACAGGCTCAGTCTTTGTGTTTTATGTCTACTTTTTTAGGTGGTGTAAAGTGTTTCAAATTCTTGCTAAACAGTTTATGTTGCCTCATAATCTGATGTGATTTTTGAGAAAGATGCAGATCATTTAAACATTAGTGTGGAATTCTCTATTAGAGATGATAGTTCTCTCTTGTTCTTTTCTGTGAATCTTCACTTGAGGGAATTTGGCTTTAAAAAAAATTTTTGTATTTCACCTTTATGTATATATTCTAAATACAATATATAGTAAAATTCATTATCAACAGATTTTAGTTACATGTTAATTATCTTAATTTTAAATTGGCTGAACTGTAATTATAGAATAATAGTAACCTGCAGTAGGCTTCCACTTTCTACTTGAATAGGTTTTTCCATCCTCCAGCCTACCCTCCACAATGCTACTAAATGTCATCTTACTAAAATGTAACTCTAATCTTGTCACTCTCCTGCTTTACACATTGCTCAGTAGCTTCGCCTTGTCTAGAATAACGGACATGCCCTTGGGCTGGACAGTCAGCCTCCCATGATCTGGCCCAAGACAACCTTTCTCACCTTACCTGCCATTCCCTCTCCATGTACCACACAGCAGTCATCCCTTGAGTGCTTGTCTTTCTGGAGCATTCCATGTACTTCCGTAACATCGTGCCTGTGTGTGGTCTGCCCGGGACACCTTCTCACCATTTCTCAACTTGACAAAATCCTTTTTGTCTCTAGCCTTCCTACATAGCCCTCAACCTTCCCCAGGATGGAATTCATTTTGTCCTTGGTAGCAATTTGTGCAATGACCTCTTCATTGTTTATTAGTTATGTCTATTTTTTCTGTGAGGTTGTAAGTCTTTTGAAGATAAATACAGTGACTTATCATTGGATCATTTGATAAATACTGAATTTCTATAAACTGCCAGGCTCTATCTCAACCACAGTTCTTATTACTACACTGGCAGCACCAATCACAAGACTTGGCATGTAGCAGTTAAAACTGAGTCTTTAGAGTTATCAAACCCATTGGCAGACAAGACCATAACATTTCAGATAATGTTTCAGACCAAGTTGTTTTAAAATACAGTGTCTTGGGGCACCCGGGTGGCTCAGTTGGTGAAGCGTCTGCCTTTGGCTCAGGTCATGATCCCGGGGTCCTGGGATCGAGCCCCGCATCAGGCTCTCTGTTCAGTGGGGAGCCTGCTTTTCCCTCTCCCTCTGCCTGCTGCTCTGCCTATCTGTGCTCTCTCTATGTCTCTGTCAAATAAATTAATAAATAAAATCTTTAAAAATAGATAAAATGCAGTCTTTTTTTTTAATGCAGTGTTTACTTTTTTCTTTTGTGCTTTAGTCAAAGAAAAAAGGACTGAGTGCAGAGGAGAAGAGAGCCCGCATGATGGAAATATTTTTTGAGACGGTGAGTTGTTTTCTATAAGATTTTTAGTATTTTATGTAATTTTCTCCTTAAGTGTATGTCATTCAGTGTTTAATTGTACCTTTTTCATTAGATATCAATGCTGATCAATTACCTGAAGAATGGATAAAATTCTGCATTTTTTTATTTCTCTGAAGCTATGGAGTAAGAAAGAACCCTACCCCAATGTTCACTTCTGTCCAGAATGATCTTTCTGAAGCATATATTTGTGTCCCCTTTCTGCCTGGAAATGATAATATTGACATCTACTGATTGCTTCCTAGGTGCCAATCATTGTTCTGACCACTTAGTGTAGGTTATCTGATTTCATCCTTTTTAATTCTGAGATCAGTACTGTTATGATCCTCATTCTACAGATGAGGACATCTGAGGTACAGCCTAAGATACCACCCTGGATCTCAAAAAATAAAAGTGGTAGTACTAGGATTCAAATCCCGGGAGGACCATCTGATTTTAGAGGCAGTGCTAAATGCTGCCTCTTTACGTTGATAAATCTGTCTGTAGTGTAACACATACATCATGGTGCATAGGCCACTGTAATTTATTCCAGATATTTGTACCTTCCACTAACCCGAAATATGTTTGAAGTTTCAGGTCCTAAGTGGCAGAGCCAGGATTCAAACCCAGGCACCTGGCTCTAGAGGCTGTTTCCTTTACTATTTTGCTATACATAGCTTTTTTTTTTTTTTGCTTCCAGGTTCAAGTCTAAATCTTAGGCCTACAAAAAACACTTCAACTTCCTGTGTCTTAGCTTAATACTTGATAGGACCTTCAAAGTCTAGTCTGGCCCCAACCTACTGACTACTTTCATTATATACAGGTGTGAAGAAGTTGGGAGAAAATGGCAAAGTAGAATATGAAATTAATAAGATAAGAATACTTGACATTTTCATTTCGATAATGCAGATTTTCAGCAAAACATTCTGGGGACCTTTGTTTTAAAAACAGCCCTCTGAGTGTAATCTTACTAATGTTACCTGCCTGCATTGACTTACCAAAAGTCACTGGCAATTCAGAACAGAGTATCACATCAATAATGATGATTAGGAAGAGGCGCCTGGGTAGCTCAGTCAGTTATATGTCTCTGACTCTTGATTTCGGCCCAGGTCATCATCTCAGGGTTGTGAGATCGAGCCCAGCATTGGGCTCTGCACTCAGCTCAGAGTCTGCTTTATATTCTCTCCCTTTGCCCCTCCCCCTGCTCACACACTCTCTCTCTCAAATAAATAAAATCTTTTAAAAAAAGAATGATGATTAGAAAGATAAATTGATGAAGTTTCCACGTGAAGATTATGACTATTCTACTGAGTTTGAATATTTTTCCTATGGTCTCAGCAAGAAAAATAGATTTAATTCTTACTAGGCAGTGGAAAGCTGGGGAGAGTGATGGGGGAAATTATTTTGTCCTTTACGATATTGTTAATTTTCTCAAGTATCAAAATTGGCTGTTTCAGATTGAAAATTTTTCAACCCTGCTATCAATTAATGATACTGATGAGTATTATTAGCAGCTTCCAGAAGTTCAGTGGTCATTGAGTTTTTACATAAAGCTAAAAATTGATTATATTGATTGCTTTCAGTTCATATATTCCTATACATTCGTGTGTGTGTGTGTGTTTGAAGTTGCTAATGTAATAGAAAAACTTAATAGCATGGGAGCAATATAGCTAAATGAGAGAGCACTTGCACCTGAAATCTGTTTTACTGAATAGCTTTGTTACCTTAAGTACCTGACCTACGTCTCAGTTTCCTTGTCTATTAAAGAGGATGGTAATACTTGTACCCAGTTGACAGTGTTGGTATGCGGGTTAAATGAGATAATCCATGTAAATCATTACAATGTCCAGGTCATAAGTACCTAATTAAAAGTTGTCTAGCTTTATAACTATGTGCCTTCCATGGTATCTTACACATGGTTTTATTTATTTATATATAAGTTTTATAAATTATAAAAATATGTATGTTTATATATATATATGTATATATATAAAGAGCTAGAGCCCATTATGTTTCTCTCTCCTTTATTACCTCTCTTTAATACTGTGGAGAATTAATATTTCCTTAAGACCATTTTCTCTGGACCACATTTTAGTTCTGAGGCTAGTACTTTGCAAGCCTACTTATCTACACAGCAACCCCACCGGGGCAGCCAGTATGTCTGGAGCTCTTCCTTGATGACCACATATAGGCAGATGTCTCAGTGAGTTCATATTCTTTTTTCAGGACATCTAAAATGTTTGCAAATAGATTTGATTAACTGATTTTTAAAAATGCATTAGAGGTCTAAAGGCAGTAATTTATTGCATGTTTTCTGAGACCCTAAAGTATTATCTTTATTTACAGATGTGCAAAAATTGATTTCACACTCTAAGACCGAAGACAGTATTTTCCTTAATTTACTAAATCTTAAGTATATTGAGATGAAGTTACTTCTTCCACTATTTTATTATGAAAGATGAAAGAGTTTTACAGTTAATACCTATATGCCCAACACCTAGATTCTACCATTAACATTTTACTCTACTGGGCGCCTGGGTGGCTCAGTTGTTTAAGCGACTGCCTTCGGCTCAGGTTGTGATCCCAGAGTCCCGGGATCGAGCCCCACATCGGGCTCCCTGCTCAGCAGGGAGTCTGCTTCTCCCTCTGACTCTCCCCTGTCTCATGATCTCTCTCTATCATTCTCTCTCTCAATAAATAAATTTTAAAAAAATCTTAAAAATAAAAATTTTACTTTGTCATATATATATTCATCTTTCCACTCCTTTATTCATTTATATGTTCATTTTTGCGAGGGGAGGGAATTCACTTTAGAGGAGTTCTTTATACATGCTGGGTACCAGTCTTTTGTCAGGTATGTTTCGTGAATATTGTCTTCTGGTCAGTATTTATCTTCATTTTCTTAACAGTGACCTTGTATGAGCAGAAGTTTTAAATTTTTATGAAGTCTAATTTCCATCCTATTGAAGTTACCTTTTCAAGTTTATTTTAGAAGAAATAGATCCTAGATTTCCATTAAAACAATCAATAATTCTGTTATAATTACTGAATGCTTGAGTCTTTTCAAATATTTCACTTTTGTTATCTAAGCTCTTTTCACCACTTCAGTGAAGGCTTAGTACAAGAATAAAGGAGTGTTCAGGATGCCTGGGTGGCTCAGTCGGTTAAGCGTCTGCCTTCAGCTCAGGTCATGATCCTGGAGTCCTGGGATCGAGTCCTGCATTGGGCTCCCTGCTCAGCAGGGAGCCTGCTTCTCCCTCTACCGCTCCCTCTGCTTATGTTCCCTCTCTCGCTGTGTCTCTCTCTGTCAAATAAATAAATAAAAATCTTAAAAAAAAAAAAAAATAAAGGAGTGTTCTACATAGATTTTTTTTTCCAACTACAAGCAAGATTAAATATTTTACATGTTTATCTTCCCATAATGTTTTTTTTTTTTAAGATTTTGTTTATTAGAGAGAGCGCACAAGCAGGGGGAGTGGCAGGCAGAGAGAGAGAGAGAGAGACACACACACACACACACACACACACGCAGGGTCCCCACCAAGCAAGCAGCCCAATGCGGCCTCAATCCCAGGACCCTGGGATCATGACCTGAGCCGACTGAGCCACCCAGGCGCCCCTCTTCCCATGTTTTGCTTTTGCATGTGGTGGACACGCCACCTGTATAGGTGAATCATTGATAGGCAGCCATGAATTGTATAATTTTCCTATTGTTTAGGTATAGCTCTTCCATGAAACCTTAAATGGAAACAAATCTTGACAGTTGTCTGTTTTGCTTTTAGTTAGAACTGCTAAATCCGTGGCATATGATATATGCTAAGCAAATCACTGTTTTCTTAAAGTGTCAGAGGAGATGATTATCTCATGTTAAAGAATTCATCATAAGTAATTTTTATACTTCACTGGAAAGATGTTCTTTACATTCTGCTCTCCAGTTACTTTAAAGAGTTGTATGTTATGCAAAATCTGTCCCTTCTAAATTCTGTTGAAGGTATCAAACAAGATAATTGCAGTTTCTTCTAACTCTAAAATGCTTGATTCTGTTGCACTGTTCATTACCAGACACAGCTTTTATAGTGCAATGTTTTATTAATATAGTTATGGTAAATATAAATATAAAGTAGAAGATAAATACTTTTTTTCATCTCTTTCTTTAAACAGAAAGATGTGTTCCAACTAAAAGACATGGAGAAGATTGCTCCCAAAGAGAAAGGCATTAGTGAGTATCAAAGATGTGCTGAGATATTTTGGGAAATATTGGTCATCTTCTCTGCAATAGTCTTTCACTTTATGAAAACATAAATTTCTAGAGATGAAGAATGTTTGTAAGAGTACTTCCATGATGTCTTTGGACCATGACCATGATTCTTATGTATGGAGTATCTTCTTTAAAATGGAGTATGCATGCATACTTAAACCTACACACACAAGCACGCACACATCCATACACAAATATACACATTTATTTATAGGTATAATTACTTCAAAAGAAGTAAAAACTGTTCATGTATGTTCTGATATTTGTTAGATGTGACTTTGTATTTTTACATGGTATATTAGTTTTCTATGGCTGTTTAACAAATTACCCCAACTTGGTGGCTTAACACAATAGAATTTATTCTCTCATAGTTCTGGAGGCCAGAAGTCTAAAATCAAGGTGTTGGCAGAGTTGGTTCCTTCTGGAGATTCTGAAGGGGAATCTATTTGATGCTTCTCTCCTAACTTCTGGTGACTGCTAGCAGTGCATGGCTTAATAGACACATCATTCTAATCTCTGCCTCTGTTTTCACATAGACTTCCCCTTTGTTTTCTCCCATTCTGTCTCTTATAAGGACATATGTCATTGGATTTGGGACCCACCCTAAATGTAGGATGATTTCATTCTATCATCCTTAATTGTACCCTTTTTCCAAATAAGGTCACATTCACAGGTTTTGGGAGTTAATCTTTCGAAGGGTCACCACTACATATGATATATTCATTTTTTTAAACCTTATTTTCCTTGTATAAGCTATACATGTTTATTTTGACAGATTTGAAAATTATAAAGTATATAATCAAAATAAAATTTGTTCGTGAGCCTTCTTTTCTGGGATCACCTCTGTTAACATTTTGGTATATTTTGATGTCTTATTCTTAGGTTCTGTCTGTCTGTGTATGCATATATCTGTCTTTTTTTTCTTTTTTTTTCCAGAGGGAACCACGCTGCATGTGCAGTTTTGTGTTCGTGTATTTTTTCATATAACATTAGATCATCTACATCTCCCTATGTCATTTGTTTTTTTTTTAAAAATGATTTACAACATCTGCATCTCCTAATGTTTCATTCTTGACCACCTACTGTACCATAATTTGTTTAGCCTATTACTATTATTGAACATTCAGATTGTTCCCAAATTTTGCTGCTGAAATCGATGTGTAACATGCTATCTACACATTTTTTTCTAAAAAAACTGATTTTTTAGAGCTGTTTTAGGTTCACAGCAAAACTGAGAGGAAGGTACAGAGATGTCCCATATGCTTCCTGCTCCTCCCCACATGCATAGCTTCTCTGGTTGTCAACATCACTCACCAGTGGTACCTTTGTTACAGTTGACACATTGTAATCACCCAAAGTCCATGGTTTACATTGGGATTCACCCTTGCTGTCATACATTCTGTGAGTTTGGATAAGTGTATAATGACACAGATCCATCATTATGGTATCATGCAGAGTATTTTTACTGCCCTAAAAACCCTCTGTGCTCCATCTATTCCTCCCTTTCTCTCCTCACCCATAAATTTTTTTTCCACATCTCCTACTGCTTCATTAGGAAAAGTTCCTAGAAATAGAATAGAAAATAGAGACTTGGGGTGCCTGGGTAGCTCCGTCGGTTAAGCATCTGACTCTTGATCTCCACTCAGGTCTTTATCTCAGGGTCATGAGTTCAAATCCCACACTTGAAATAAAAAGAAAAGAAAGTAGGGTCTTTTGTAGTTTTAGGCATTTAATATGTTCTCTCAAAGTGCCTTCAGGAAAGGTTATACCAAGTTATATTCACATTCATTTCTCAGAACTGTGTTTTCATTTTTAGAATCCTTGACATTTCATTTCACTTTGTACTTCTTTACAAGTGAGGTTGAATGGTTTGCACCTTTGGTGTTGATTTTTTTTTTAATTTATTAAATCTTTAGTTTTTATTTTTGTTTTTTAAGATTTTTATTTATTTATTTGACAGAGAGAGACACAGCGAGAGAAGGAACACAAGCAGGGGGAGTGGGAGAGGGAGAAGCAGGCTTCCCGCTGAGCAGGGAGCCCGATGCGGGGCTCGATCCCAGGACCCTGGGACCACTTCCTGAGCCGAAGGCAGACGCTTAACGACTGAGCCACCCAGGCGCCCCAGATCTTTAGTTTTCTAATAGATTTTGTTACATTTGGGGATCTGCTGTAGGAAAAATTGAAGTGGACGTTAAAATATGGATAAGTTCTCGGTAGAGTTTTACTTAATAGTAAGAATTGTTCATGAATTTCAAACATTTATGAAATATGACTTTACATTTTTATATGCTATTTTTTAAAGCTTTTTTCTGATTTTTTGTGGTCTTACTCCTAACCATAACATTCAGTTCACAAGTTTTTTTTTTCTCTTTTAGTTTTCTTAGCGAAAAAGGCAATACACATTCATTTTTGGAAAAAACTTAGAAAAATGAACAAAAAAGAAGGAAATAAAAATTGCCTCTTACCCACAGCTCAAAAATAACCACTGTCTAATTAGTGCCTATTGTCTTTTAACTTTATTTTTTTTATAATTCTACATAATACATTTTGAATGCATGTATATCCATGCCATTAAATACTTTATAACATAAGTTTAATGATTACATAGTATCCCATCCCAATAAAGTACTTTTAAAAGTCCAGTTATTGGACTGGTTTCCGATTTTTTGCTGTTGAAAACAGTGCTTTGACAAGCATCCCTGTGCGTGTCCATCATTATTTTCTTTGGCTGAATTTATAACAATGGAATTTCTACATAAAAGGCATGCATAGATATATATTGCCAGATTTTCTTCCCATCTTGAGAGAACCCATTACCCTGAACATTTTACTATATTTTTTAGGTATTTTTGGTTTGGTAGTCAAGAACTCATATCTCATTGCTTTATTTGGCATTTCTTCAATTATTAGTGGGGTTGAACATTTTTGTTTATTAACTGTGTATATTTTGTAGCTGTCCATTGATGTACTTTTGTTTTTCTGTTGATGTGTCTGTCTTTTTTGTAGTTGTTATTTTTAAAAGCTCTTTGTTAATTTATTAACCCTTGATCTGTAATATTTGTTCCAAGTGTTATCTTCAGTTTTTAGCCTTTTAATTGTATTTATGATGTGTCTTAATAGAGAGTCTTTAAAATTGATCTCTTTTAGCTGCTATGTCAGTGAAAGAAGTCCTTCAAAGCTTAGTTGATGATGGTATGGTTGACTGTGAGAGGATTGGAACATCGAATTATTACTGGGCTTTTCCAAGTAAAGCTCTTCATGCAAGGAAACGCAAGTTGGAGGTTCTGGAATCTCAGGTAAGCCAACACAGTTAAAAATTGCAGATGTGCTTTGTAAGAAAGAAATTTATTTTACTTAATCTTCTTTTCATTTAATGGCTTCCATTAAATTTTTAACATGTATTATTTGACTCAAGATCTAAGGATAATCAAGATCTCTTTCTCCTAAACAATACAAGGAGCTTAGAATGTTCTAACTTTCATCCTCCCACATGCCATGATATTATTTTATAGTATTTTAGTTCCTTTTAGGGTTACAGAATGGTTGGGAAGGTACAGAGTTCCCAAATACAATTGATTCTTTAACACCATGGGTTTGAACTGCATGAGTCCACTTCTACATGGATTTTTTCCAATACATGTAATACTGTAAATTTATCTTCTCTTATGTTCTCTTAACATTTTCTTTTCCCTAGCTTGCTTTGTTGTAAGGATACAGTATATAATACATATAGCATACAAAATATGTGTTAAACAACTGTTTATGTGATTGGTAGGGCTTCTGGCCAGCAGTGGGCTATTAGCAGTTAAGTTTGGAGGGAGTCAAAAGTTATATGTGGATTTTTGACTGCATGAGGGTCACCCCTAACCTCTGCATTTTTCCATGGTCAACTGAAGAGTTCTCCACTATCCAAAAGTGGAGCATTCCTGTGAAACCTTTTTTTTTTTAAAGATTTTATTTATTTATTGGACACAGAGAGACATAGCGAGAGCAGGAACACAAGCAGGGGGAGTGGGAGAGGGAGAAGCAGGCTTCCCGCAGAGCAGGGAGCCTGATGTGGGACTCGATCCCAGGACCCTGAGATCATGACCTGAGCCGAAGGCAGACGCTTAAGGACTGAGCCACTCAGGCGCCCCCTGTGAAACCTTTTGTAAGCTAAAATGGCATAGAATGAAAAAGCAATTACCATTAATCTATATGGAAAAAATTGAGTGTTTCTGAACCCCATAAGTAGCCTCTCTTAGGCTTTTCTGATACCTGTAGGACACATCTTGCTAACAGATGCACAAAATAAATCAAGATAAAGCACAGATGCTCATTGATATAGTTCCGAGGTGTGGAGTTTGATGCTGAGATGCTGAGTGTAGTTCCCGGGGAAGGAGCTTGGTGGTGCCGCTCTCCCTGATGTTGGTACATGCTACCTCTATACTGGTTTGCTACAAAATGAACGCTGAAACACTATTTTTGCTTTTTATCTTTTTTTGTAAAAGCAAAAAGACTCTTCAGATTTCTTTTAGTTAGCAAAAATAGGTACTAATATAGGTCTTTCATAAAAGTAAAATGGCATATCATGAACTTTTGAAAAGTGACTTACATTTTGTGTTTAGTGTGGTACATTTGTTACAAATGATGAGCCAATATTGATACCTTGTCGTTAAATAAAGTCCATAGTTTACATTAGGGTTCACATTTTGTATGTTATGTGAATTTTGACAAATGCATAAATGTCATGTATCCACAATTACAGGATCATACAGAATAGTTTCACTGCCCTAAAAATCTCCTGTGCTCCAGTTATTCGTCCATCCTTCCCTCTCCCTTAATCCCTAGCAACCCTTGGTGTTTTTTACTATTCTATAGGTTTGCCTTTTCTGGAATGTCATATTGTTGGAATCATGCAGTCTGTAGCCTTTTCAGATTGGCTCTAATACACATTTAGGTTTCCTCCATGTCTTTTGGTGGCTTGGTAGCTCATTTCTTTTTATTGCTGAACAGTATTCCATTGCACAGATGTGCTGCAGTTTGTTTATTCATTCAGCTATTAAAGAAAATCTTGGTTGCTTCCAAGAACGTGTATTTAGTCTGTATTACAAGATTCCACTACATTTTAATTTTATTTTTTTATTCTTTTATACAACTGAGGGGGTGAATTAGGTGGAATTTACAGTGTAGGCAAGAAGTGGAACTTTAGGGAAATGGGCTATGGACTTGTTTTGGGGTGAGGCAAGGAAGAATCCTGATTCTCTAGAAGATAACAGGAATAGGAAATGTTAATCAGGAATAGTAAAGGAGATGAATTTTTTTCTGTTTGGAGATAATATGAGATTACATTTCTTCACAGGAAAATTCTGAAACACCACTTTTTTAAAATGTCGCTCCTGGGTTTAAGAAGGTCAAAGTTTGTAGGCAGCCCTCAGTCTGTCTGTGTTTTTAATTATAAGCAACAAAAACTAACTCTGGCTGAGTTTAACAGAAAAGGAATTTATTAGAAGATACAGGATGGACTTATAGAATCACTGGGAAGGCTAGAAACCCAGTTCTAAAAGTAGGCAGGAACTGAGGGAAGGTGCACAGCCAGACCACAGCCAAAGTCACGCCGTGAAACTTGTGTGGTGAGGATTCTGCTGCCCCAGGGCCATGCCATGACCTCTGCACCTAGCTCTATTGACAGTGCTGCTGACCAGTGGAAGATGATTCCACTGGTGCTCCTGACCCTGGCTAAAGAAGCGGATGTTGTTGCTGCCCCCCTCCCTCCCCCCAAAAAACCCTCAAAAAATGAAAAACTTCTGTCCTAGCTACCAATCACAGTTTTGGGAAGTACATATGACTGGCCAAGCCTGGGTTACATGCCCACACTCTAGTTGCCAGGGGAACTGGGGAAATAAATAATTGGGGTTTCTAGTTTCTATGATGGGAGGTAACTCCCTCCTGTTGGCACCAGCAATTCCCTGAAATAGGAAGGGGGTTTGAATGCTGAGTAGCACTCTCTCTCCTACCAGGTTAGATATTTACAAAATAAATCGAGAGAAAAAAACTGGAAAATAGCACAGGACTTGGAGTCAGAATAATAACAACAAAATTACTGAATACCTACTGTCCTCTGTATGCCAGACACTATTCTAGGCACTTGTAATCCATTAGTGGACAAAGAATGGAAGCAGGGAAACAGGTAGGTTAAGTTATTGGAGTAATCCAGCTGTGAGGTAATTGTGGTTTGGACCTAGTGGTAGCAGCCTACCTACCCCTCCTTAGCTGTAGGCAACCAGTAAGCTTCTTTTCTTTCTTTCTAAGATTTTATTTATTTTTTGAGAGAGAGCACACGTGCATGTGAGCTGGGGGAAGGGTAAAGGGAGAGGGAGAGAAAGACTTTCAAGCAGACTGCCAGTGGAGCCCAACTCGGGGCTTGATCTCAGGACCCTGAGATCATGACCTGAGCCAAATTCAAGAGCCAGACGTTCAACTGACTGAGCCAACCAGGTGCCCCTCAGTAAGCTACTTTCTGTTTCTTGTGAATTTCCTTGTTCTGGACGTTTTATATGAATGGAATCACATAATGTGTATCTTTCATGACCGGCTTCTTTCATTTAGTGTAATGTTTTCAAGGTTTGTCTATGTTGTAGTATGTATCAGTATGCCATTCCTTTTTATGGCCAAATAATATTCCATTGTATGAATATACCACATTTTATTTATCCGTTCATCAGTTGATGGCCATTTGGGTTGTTTCCACCTTTTGACTATTATATGCAATGTTGCTGTAAACTTCATGTATGAGTTTTTGTGTGGACATATGTTTTCATTTCTCTTGGGAATTGATGGGTCATATGATAACATGAATAATTGTTTGAAGAACTTCCGGACTTCTTTCTAATTTGGCTGCACCATTTCACATTCTTACCAGCAGTGCGTGAAGCTTCCAATTTCACCGCATCCTCACTGAAACTTATCATTACCTGACTTTTTTGACTCTAGCCATCCTAGTGGTTGTGAAGTGGCATCTCATTATGGTTTTGCTTTCCATTTCCCTGATGACTAATGATGTTGTGCATCTTTTCATGTGTTTACTGGCTATTTGTGATCTTCCTTGGAGAAATGTCCATTCAGATCCTTTTACCCCTTTTTTTATCTTTTAAACATCATGCTGCATTTTTTTTCCCCTCCTAGGAAACAACATGCATATTCATCACTCAGCAACTTTTTTAAAAAGTTAATCATGAAATTAGAAACTTTATACAGGGTAATTTACTTTTAGGCCTTACTGCATTTTTCTGTCTTCATGGTTTTTGTTCTTTTATCCTCTAAGAATTCCCTTGCCCTTCTTTTCTACCTAGCCAAATTCTAAACATCTCTTTTCTCAGAAACCATCTCAAGCTCCCATAGCTTACAGTGTTTGGGCCTTCTCTAAACCTATAATATTTTTGGTTTTACCATAATATAATGTATTGCTTTGGCACATACTGCTGGTTTGCTATGTAATGAACATTGCCCCTTTCTTCTTTACTAACAAAACACTTTGTTGAGGCAGCAGTGTGTCTTATGGAAAAAATACTCATCTTCCCACACTCCCTTGCAACTAAGAGTGGCAATGGAAAACAATTCTGATGAGTGAGATGTAAATGGAAGACTAGCTTTGAGGTTTGTAGGAAAGTGTTTACTTTCCTCAAAAAGGCAAAACCCTTTCCCCTTCTTTTCCATGATGTAGACATGAGTTTATATTGTAACCCTACAATAACAAGCATTAGGATGAAGACCTGTTCCTTAAGAATGTCAGAGCCTGAATAAAAAGGGCTTGGATCTCTGGTGGCATTTTGAGATGCTGCGCTAGCCTTGGACTGCCTAACCTCTGGGCTGTTTAATCCAGTTTTAGTCAAAAATTCTGTTATTTTAGCTGCAGGTATTCTAAATGGATACAATTGCTTTGAAGATTTCTTTTGCATAAATGTAACTTAGATTTTTATTAGTCTATCTCTTTGTAACAAACTGTTTACTCCAAAACTTTGGGGCTTAAAGAAACAAATATTGATATTTCACAGTTTCTGTGGATTCAGGCATGGCTAGTTAGGTACCTCTGGCTCAAAGTCTCACATAAGGTTGTAATCAAACAGTCGGCTGGGGTGGCATTCTCATCAGAAGGCTCATCTGGGAGAGGACTTACTTCCAAACTCAATCATATGGTTATTGGATTTAGTCCCCTGAAGGCTGTTGGACTGAGGGCCTTGACTCCTTGATAGTTTTTAGACAGAGGCCTCCTTCATTCCTTTTATCAAGGGCTTCTCCATAGGATGGCTCACAGTAT